CTGTTGGGTTTAGGGCAAGACCTAGGTTTACTTTCGGATTGAGGCTATGCGATGACTAGTCGGCTTTCGTTTTGCCTGTTTCGATTTTAACCTGATTCCATACCGATTTAGAATCCGCGATAGGTTCTCGGCTTATATGATTCGTCTTGTTGGAACCGAACATCTCACCGGGAACAATTTCTAAGTTGCCCGGAAGTGCTGACCAAAAGTTTGGATTTCTTTTATAGCGATATTACCCTTGTGTCGGGTGTTCGAGAGCTATCTCTGCGAGATAACTTAAGTTTGTTTAGGACTGTTGCGAGTTTGTTGTGATCAGCAACAAACTTTTTAGGAGATAAATGTTTACGTTGTTTTGGCCTTCGCGAAGGATACGTACGTTAAGAAGTTTTGCGTAATTTTATAGTCGCGGACGGACTGTTAGGTCTTCCAAGAAAATGACTTTATCGAGGAAGGTATTTATGTCGAAAAACTAATCTCCGGGCGTCTGCTACGTCTCGCAGTGCCGAAAGGTGGTATTTATTTTATATGCCGCGTTTCTTGTTCGGAACGTTTGCGGGCTCGAAGATGTTGCGCGGTGTTGCGAGGGTTTTGTTTTAACCCTGCTTTGCACGAACACTTTGGTTCGTTTGCGGATATTCACAATTAAAACCTACATTCCTGTTTGGATGTTAGGTAGTTTTATGATTTGTGCTAGAGCAATTAGGACCGAGAGGTCGCGTAAATTGTTTCCTCGAAACGAAGCGTTTTTCGTTACGGTGCTTTGTGAAGTGATGACCTTCCGAGATTCGTACGGCTTTAGGAGCTCGGGTACGAGTGTTTTCTTATACGTCGGATTTTGTAGGAAACTTGCTTCGGAAATAGAGTGAATCGCGAAAATACATAACTTATCCGATTTTCGACAAGTTTGCATTATCCGTTGAAAGTATTGGCTTGGCGTGAAGGTTGTGTTCAGCCGCACGGCCAAGGTCGTATTTGGTAGAGGATTAGACCACGACACTTTCGTGCTATCGAAAAGTTCGAGTCGGTTTGTAAACTTGGCATTGAAGTGAAGCGCGATCGGACAATAGCCAAGTAGCGTTTGTCGAGCTTGATATGCCAAGTATGCCCGTGTTTATAGAAAACGTTTTTCCGTTTTATGTTTGATTTCTATGGTGAAAGTTTCGTATCAACTTTCCTTTGTATGGAAGTTTTTTTTTTTTTTACTCGAGGGAGACAGATCCTAAGAAGCTCGATGCAGTCTCGGATGTAAACGGGAGGAATGAGAGTGGATGCTCGTGAACCGATGGGCTAAAGAGTGAGATCTTTCAGATCGTATCGCGAGGTGGCAAAGTTTAGATTAGCTGCCCAGTGCCGGATCGTATAGCTTGGTTTTTGCTATAAGGGAAGTACTTTTCGCAAAACCAGTTATGTTTACTTTCGAAAGTTACTTCGTTATGACATGATCCTGACTATACGAAGGATTTCTCGCGTAAGCAACGGGGGATGAATTTAGTAAATCGACGCGACGCATTGGGTTAACATTGTTTCCGCAGATTTTTCGAGAAACCTTTCCGCTTAGTTTTTGATTCTTCGGTGGTAGTTTTTTCGGAGTCACTCGTGGAGTTTTACAAAAAGTTATTTCACCGAACTCTAGTCGCAAAATGTTTTAGCGGGTTTCTCGGGCGGAATGAATCACATGATCAGCAATAGGATCAGTCAGCGAGAAAGGAGGACGTGTTCTCTATTGCTGCTTTGTGTTCTCGATTTTTCTTTTGCCGCAAATGTTCTTGACATTATTTCGTGACTCACTTGGTTTGACGGAAAATGAGATCAATGCTTTGATGCCTAAATATTTTGATTCTTATACTTGTTTTATCAAGTCTGAGAAGATCTTTATGACTTCGGCAAATAATCGGGCTTCGCTCTGAAGTTTTGCAGAGATTTTCTAACCGCATGATTGCGACGAGAGATTCTGTATATTCCTCGAGATTATTTCCCAGACGGTTTGGATCAGTCTTTAGCGCTTAGACGGTTTTTAGATTGTCGTTTGCTTTTGGGATGATTTCGACGAGGCGATGCATCGTCTGAATATCTTTCCGCTTATTTTAGAAAGTGTTTTCTTGATGCGAGGAAAAATGTTCGGCGAAAGAAGAAAGACGAGTTTCGTTTGAAGGATTGGGATGATCGACAATCCGGGTCGATTAAAGACCATGGTGGAT